TTCTCGAATCAATAATGCATGTTTTGAAGCAGTAGTGGTCACCAATACCATACCTCAGGAGGACAAGATGAAGCATTGCTCTAAAATACAGGTGAGAATAAGATTCTTGCAAAACAAGATTTCATCTGAGTGTTTAGGTGTGGTTATATATGTTAAATTAGGTTTCTGGATTCGGAAGATCTCCTTTGATCTTGAAGTTTGTCCGTTATCAGGATCTGTGATCAAAAAACACCTGTTTAAAAATTCAAATTGCTAGACCTCAGAACCTAGAGGATAGAGCCTAGGATTCTACATTTTAACAGGCTATTCCAGTGATTTTTTTTTTCTTTTTTTTAGTACTGTGGATTGAACCCAGGTATACTCTACCAGTGAACTATGTAAGCCCTTGGCCCTTTTATTTTTGAAACAAGGTGTCTCTGAGTTGCTGAAGTTAGCCTGGAACTTGTGATCCTCCTACCTCAGCCTCCTGAGTCTCTGGGATTATAGGTGTGTGCCACTGTACCTGGCACTCCCAGTGATTTTTTTAATTTTTGGTACTAGAGATTAAACTAGGGGCACTTAACCACTGAGCAACATCTTCAGCCCTTTTATTTTTTATTTTGACACAGGGTCTTGCTAAGGCTGACCTCAAATTTGTGGTCATCCTGCCTCAGCCACCAGAGTTGCTGGGGATTACAGGCATGGACTGCCACACTCGGCACTCCCAGTGGTTTTGATGCACATGAAAGTGTACAAGTTCATGCTTTACACAAACCCTGTTTATCTTACTCTTAACTATTGTGTTTTGTTTTTGCAAGACCACATGTTTTACTACTAGATGTAAAAGACATAAAATTGTTCTATCAAATTACTGTCAAATTTTTTCAAACTTGTACTCATTTTTGTACATCTTTTTAGGGATTGGGACTAAATTCAGACTGGCACTGGTCTGTAGTTCACCATTTTGGATTTTAAAATTGCATCTCACCATTTTGAGCCCCAGTGAGAGTTTTTCCTCCATTACTAACATTTGTTTCCTAAATGGGTATAGTAAAAATATTGTTCTGAATAGTTGCTGAGTATGGGCTTATGAGGAGGGGTGCTCACTAGATTACTCAACAGTGGAGGCTTCAAACTGGCCAATCAGCTCTGTCCATGTCTATTAACCTGGTACCTTTCTTGCCTTTCTAGGTGATTGACATCTCTATGATCCTTGCGGAAGCCATCAGGAGAACTCATAATGGGGAATCTGTTTCCTACCTATTCAGTCATGTTCCTTTATAA